CCAAAGCACTCTGCCCTAGCTGAAGGATGTGCTGCCAAAACTTCAGAAAGGCAGCAGGAAACACTGTAAAGGTTTGCCTAATGAGGTGAACAGGGGGGTTACCTCATTAAACCTGCACAAAACCTCAATTAGGTCTTCTGAGCAGCTTTCAATGGAGCAAGTATTCTGCATGGAGCTGGCAGAATTACCTTTGTTTTTCAAAGATCACAAATAGGTTTCTAAAACACCTTGATGTATTTAAAATGGTAATGTTATTAGACAAGTAGGTACAATAAAAGAAACATCTCTGCAAACAGAAAAACCCCAGGGATACACACATTCAAAATGCTACTGCAATTTTAAACCCTGATAATTGTGTTGTAATGTAAGCAGTTGCATCGTGCACATGAACATTGCAGCCAATGCATCACCACAGCATACCTTCAGCTCTGGCTTCAGTGATTTCCCTCAGCAAAGTACCCTCTGGTTGCAGTAGGCTTAAACATAACTCATAGCACGACTGATTGCGTATGCCAAAATGAGTTTAATGGGCAAACATGGCTTCTCTGTAGCTGTCTGTGCAAGACTAGCAGAAGGAGAAAGCCTTGTGCTGTGGGGCAGCTCTGGGCACTGGCTCAAATGCTGTCATGATTTATTAAAAAAACCCACTAGAATAAGCAACTTTTCTAACAGAAAATTTCCCTCCTCTAAGTAAAACAAATTAAAAGAGGGCTGAAAAACAAACCTGACTACACTCTTGCAGGCTGTCATTGCTTTCATCAGGCTTGCTCTGAATTTTGCAGCTTCAGAGGCTATATGTAAAATACATTCAATCTTCCCTGGGTCCAAGACATTTCTTCTCACCCAACAACACCCAGGCTTACGTCCAGCAGCTCACACAGAAGCTGCCCCACACTCAGCCTACTTGCCCCAGGGACAGAGCAAACAAGCCACCTTCCTCCCTGCCACCTCTTCACAAGCTAATGAATGCAGTAAATCACCAGCAAGCAAATGAAAAACACCTCTGTACCATGGAGGGACTAGAATTAACAACAAAAATTGCCTGGAGCAATTGAATTTGGTACGTGGCAACCAGCATCTCCCCAAAGCTGGACTGGAAGCTGCAAACAGCCAGGATTATGTGAGCAGTGGCCAAAGCACTATAGGTGATCCCCCTATAGCTGACAGGTCCTCCAATGAGTTTGCTGATCATGCTTTCCATACAGTTTCAACTGAAAGTACTCATAGTGAGTACCTGATACAGGCTGAGTTTCCAGGGGGAAAGCTTCACAGCTTTCAAGCAGCAGTCTGGAGACATATTTTAACCACCTTACAGGCTCTGAAGCATGTAATTGAAAAGCTTTAGTAACCCCATACTTTGGAGGAAGAGCTGGAAATTTTGGCAGGAGGGTTTTGCTGTCAGAAATGTGTCTTTTGCTGTTTCTAGAGGGTGAAAAAGCCAGCTGCTATCTAACCTATCAAGGTGTGCAAGCACTCAGTAAAGGTCACCTCAAAAGTAGCTGCCAAATTCTGCAGCTGGGCTTGTTCCTGGATGTCCTTCTTCCCATCAGACCCCAGAAGGGGACAGTGCCCCTCACAAGCCCTCAGGTTTCAGGGGAGAAAGCAGCAGCTCATTCTGTTCATATCCTTCCAGCAGAACATCCCCAAGCATGTCCTTAAGCCCCAACCTTCTTGCTGAGTGCTCTGGGCTGGGTACATCCCACCAGCACCACAGAATGTCTGGCCCTTATGCAAGGCGGTGCCAGAGCTACTTGCTGCCCTCCAGGGACTCCAGTATGACGTGGGATCACCCACAGTCAGGATCAGAGTCTGTTTTTACCCACACCTGTACCCATCCCCCAGGCCTTCCAGCAGCACTACAGTTGTAGTCATTATCACCCCCAAGAGTGTTGCAATTTTCTGTACATTCAGTTCCTCAATTACATTGATTATCACATTTAACATTCCTGGTGCGACAGGAACAGACTAAAAATAATAAGCTTCTACTTTCCTAATACAAATGAAGCCCATTTGTACTACTGAGAGTGTGGCGGGCTCATTGTTGCACAGTAAAGAAGCTTTCATCTCAAGAGATCCAATTCATAAAAAATACTTGCTAAGGCTGTGCACATTTTTTTCCCCTTTCACTACCACTGACATTCCTCTAAGTTCAAATCCAATATGGGGTTAGACCAGCAGTTAAAATAAAATGGAAGAGGTAAAAGCAAAAAAGAAAAGAATCACCCCTTGCCACCCCAGGCTGTGGGCACCAGGACCCATGCACCTTCCACTGCTATAAATAGCTGCAGTCACCTTTGCTCCATTTCCCAAACTATAAAAACACTGCAATAGAGATAGAAACAACAAAACACTATACATAAATTATTTATTTTTTCTTTATATGAATTTGTAACCAAACCCACCATAACACAGCCGAGGAGATGCTGTTGCAGCACGTGCAGGGGAACCACTGAAGGCTGCAGGCACAAGGTGACGGGTAAAGCAAAACCAGATTTTGATGCTCCAAGTCACAATGGCATGATTAAAATATATAACAAAAATTGAGATCTGTTCCTCTGGCTGCTCCAGAGCTTCCTCAAAAGTAAACAGTCTTCAGGTTTGCCCACCACCTCCACAGGGCAGGACAGGCTCCAAGGGAACATACCCTGCTTCAGGAGAGTTGTGTGGTAGGACATGGCACTTGGGCTCTGCTTCAACACCCATTTGGGAGAGATGCAGCTCCTGCTACCCCTGGGCAACCTGCTTTTCTCAGCCTGCAGCTTTCAGCCACACCATGGTCACAGAATGGCACTGGGTATTAGAGATCCCAACATCTAATACCAGTGCTGTCGTATCTGACATCTCTCCATCCTTCCCTTCATCAAGGGAGCCTGGAAATGAAGACAGATGGGATATATCCCATAGACATCCCTCCTCTCAGGGGATTCATCTGCTTCTCCACTTCCCTCTCACCAAGAGGCACAGGCAGAGAGAGATCTGACAGTGGCAAAGGCTTTGCTCTTTCTGTCAAGCTTCAGAAAGAAAACTAAGTCAGGAAAGAGCAGAAGAGAGGCTTCCCCTTGTGTTTCCCTCCATGCCTGAAATGGTAGCACTCAACCACACAGCAAATCAGGGACATGGTGGGATCTCACCTGCCCTCCCATACCTCAGCACCCACAGTGGCAGCAGGAGAGCAGGACAGAGGAATGATGAGCATCTCTCCCCTTTTCCCCTGATTGAGGGGGGTCAGGCCTTGCTTATCACAACTTTGATTATCAAAAATCCCATCCCTTATCCAAAACGAGGTCATGGGTCACTTACATCAAAAATTATCTTGATTATCTTACCCTCATTTATCAGAACAAGCTCATTATCAGCCATATTACTTAGTAAACAGAGGTTTGTACACTTTTACTTAGTAAACAGAGGTTTGTGCACTTTAGGATTTGTTGATTGGGTAGCACATTGACATACAAGATTTTGCTGCTAAGATTTAAACACCCTGAAACCGCATGTGTAAATCTGAGTAGGGCTCGATCAGGCCTCCCCAAAGAGATGCTGGGTCTCTCCTGTCCAGGTATTAGAGATGGGAACAGAAGTTTTACCTCAAATCACAGTCGCCCATAGTACACTACAGCCCTACTGCTAGAACTGCCTGCAGGAGCCTTCCTCCGGCTGCTGGGTGCTTCTTGCGGTTAAGCAAGATTTAACAACAGCTCAAAAGCCTCCTGCAGGGATAAAAGACTTCATGGATCTGGAGTTTTGTTGCTGTTTGTTGTATTCATTCAGAGGAATTAGTGCCATGGGACAGAGAGCACGTAAGACTAATGAGAATATGGAGAGGAAGAAGACTTGCCTAGTGTCTTGGCTATGGACCTGCCCCAGACTTCATCCTCCCTCTGCTGGCTTCTGCTAAGAGCCATCTGAAGGCTGTTGGCAGAGAAATCTGAAAATGATTTTTAATTCCTTATTCATCTGGTGAAAGGAACTGAAAGCAGCTCAGCTGCGCCCAGTTAGAATTCAGTCTGTCCCCTTATCTACCCTGCTGGGCTCAGCATCATGGATGCCCACACACAGAAGCACCACCCTCCTAGTGCAGGTGCTGTGTGCATGCAGAGACAGAGGTCCACAAGACACACAACATGAACACTCTTATCTATCCTCGTACTGTTGCCTTGTCCCTCTAACCCTGGGAAGCTCTCACTGCAGAGCATGTCAGCCTTGGGCGTTCATGGGTCAAACTCTTCACTTACACTTACTTTTTGAACACAGTTACCAGCTATTTCAAACATGAAGTGTTCTCAGCCTTACCTTGGATCAACTTTTCCAGCAATGCTGGTTCCAGGAAAAAAAACAAACCAACCAGCCCACACACAAACCCACAATCAGATCTTTAGTGAACACCTTCCCTCTGACTCAAGCAGCTGCTGGAAAACACACAACATTTTGCTGCATGCCGAGGAGGGGTCAGACAGCAGGGCTTCATTACCAGAGCAAGAGAGCATCAAGCAACCAGGCACACCTATTGCAGAAAGCGACCCTCTCTCTTAATCTTTGTAATTGGCAATCAGTCCCATAAAAGGCCAGAAATCTCGCTTATTAAACTCAAACTGCTGAGCCTCTTGTTAGATGGCAGCAGCATCTGTGCCTGTGGGTTTATTTATCCTGCAGACAGGGTTACCAACCCTGGAGCAGCAGAAAGGATTTCTAGGAGAGACAGTGCAGCTGGTGTACATTTCCTTTCCACAGGGTGATACCATGCTGTTTCACAGAGAGGCTGCTTCCCACACGCATCAGAAAATATCCAGTATAGCTGCATCCACACAAGGCATATGTTCCTGTATAAGGTATCTATATGGTGTTGCTCTTCTTCCTGCTTTCACTGTATTTTATCTTTAAATTGGAGAGCTTTTTTTGTAGCAAATCAGAGAGGAACAGCGAGTTACCAAGGAGATTCTCTGATGAATCAGACACTGACTGGTATAAGACCTAGACAGGCTATAGCTTCTTAATTTGTGAGACCTTACGTTTTAGACAGGGGAAAAAAGATCCTATCACAACCAACTGTGGACCACTCCAGCAAAAACAGCGTTTAATTTTGCCATAGAAGCAAATAGCAAGTGCACAGCGTAGGAAATCAGTGAGCAGTCAGAAATGAATGGAAGTGTCTCTCTGGCACACTCTTGACTCAGAAAAGCAAATACCATCCAAGGACAAAGTGGTCGGATGGAGGTGACTGAGGGAAAGCCTGGGAAGCCCCTGATTTCACACCAGCATGTGCAAGGATACACAGGGATGAGAGAGTACTGGAGAAAGAGCTGCGCGCCTGCTTCCCCACAGCCCTGGCATCTCGGAAAGTAAAGGTTGCACAGCCAGGTGAAGTGCTGTACATGTGCCAGCCGTGGGCTCAGCAGAATACTGTGACTGCTCCAACCCTGAGCCTGCTTTTCTGACTGACTCCTGCAGTTTTCTTCTGAGGAGCAGGCGAGAAGGATGAATTTTGCCAAATGACAGCAAAGGCAAGGACTTCGCACCAGGCATCATGCCCTCACAAGGATGGCCATCATGTCACGGAGAAGACCAGGCAGAGAGGGATGCATGGGCAGAGCAGAAGGGAAGAGGAGTTTTTATAAAGGTGGGGATAACAAGGAGCTTCATGAAATAAAGTTTGGAGAGAGAAAGCCCAGCTTTTTCGGGCTGAATTTTTTCAGAGGGTCTTCACACCCACTTCCTTCTGGCAGCTCATTTCTGAGTAACTACTGAATGCTGGTGCTTCGCCTCTATTTAAAAACAGAGTAATTAAAACTGCCTGGGAACTGCAAGAGCAGTGAGAAATAATTGGAGACATCAAGAGACAAGATATATGGAAACTTGCTGCTTGTAGATAGGCCATTTTCCCAAAGGTGGAAGCCACAGAAGTATGTAGATGAGAGGGGAAATCTCTCTGTCAGATCCCATTGAAATCTCCATTTTGGGCACTGCTGCTCCGCTGCTAAGGTAAACACGATCCTTTCTGGGGGAAGCTGCAGGATGCACCAAGGTGCTTGGGATAGGGACGGTGTTGAGAAGTATCAGGGAGTAAAGATTAAAGTGTGCGTTAGAGCAAATTCAGGCTTTACTGCTAAGTGCACCCTGGAAAAGGATTTCCTAGAGTGATTGAGTGATTGCATCTGACAAGTGGCTGGCACGAGCCAGGCTTTAACCAAGGATTCGGGTGAAGGACAGTTTATAGGCAAACAGTTTCAAGTGCTGTTTTGAGACATATATTGCACTTGTTCATCTGAGGAATGAATAGCTGTTGGTAGCATTTGTTGGCTGGAGTTAACATCTTACGGTAATGTTTTAGTGATGTATATTTTGATGTTATTACTGGGGGGGGGAGGGGGGGTCAGGGGAGGGGAAAGGAGGGGAAACAATTTCTGAAATTACCCTGCTGGCCTCACGTAGAAAGCAAACTACTCCAGAGTGCTGCAATAGAGAACAAAAACAGCGTATAGGCTGGGAAGGGGCACAAGGAACACTTCCTGACAGCAAGCTGCTTGAGGCACCACAGAAAGAAGTTGACAGGAAATTCCTAGGCATGGTTCACAACCAGATGATAACAAACTCTGTGTCCCCCTCCAGCTTCGCACACAGCAGCTTGTACAGCATCTACTTGCTTCACTTCCCAGCTGTGCCGGACAAATTAAAGGTGTAGCAGCAGCAAATTTTAATTTGACAGGCTGCCAGCTCTCATGCATTCAGTGGGCTATTGGGTCTTATTTGACTTCATATTTATGATCTTTATTCACTTCAGCATGAAGCTGGAGTTGCTTATATGTTTGCATTTACAATGGAGAAGAGCTGAGGAAGCAGTAACTGCACACAAACTTCCCACAGGCAGAGCACAAACTTCCACGCACTCCCCAGCTTACAAGCATCATACCTCAGCACAACAGTACTGCTGTTCCATCCTTGGGCTGATTTGGTATACCCATATTCCCCAGAAAGCATTCAGTTTGTTTTTCTAAATGTGTACAAGCAGCAGCTGTTAGAATTTAAACCGTATCTTTACACAGGGGCTTCAGTGCAAGAACAGCAAACAGGCAGGTTAGGAATTTACACATTTAAGAGAGGAGATAGTGACAATTTAAATAATTTGTATAAAAACCTGCAGCTGAACAGAAAGAGTGTCCAGACAGGAACTTACATCTTCATTTCCACTGCTTTGCAGTAACTGTTAGCCTGGAAAGCCTAGAAAAGTCATCACTCATGACTTTTGCTATGCAGCAAAGCTGGTCTGAACACAGGGACTAATGGTAGCATGGCCACTGTATGGTGTGGTCCCTGGGGTGGGAGGGGGCCTGCATTCTGCCTTTGCTTGTGAATTTTGACTGCAGTAAATGAGTAGGAGGTTGATAATGGTCTGAACACTGCCTCTGTAGTTAGATTTGTTGCCACAAGCATTTGCCTCTGTAAGTACCCAGAATAAGGTCAAGGAAAGAGGTGAGGAATCAAGAGGAATATGAACTGCCAAGTAAAGGGTGACCTCCATCAAGCCATGGTGCTTGACAGAGCATCTGGTCCTTCAGTACTAAGATGGTGCTGGAATGGGGAGAGATTGTGTTACAGATACAGCTAGAATATAAACTGATGTAGTTTGCTCTGAACCTCTGCATGTGTACGTTCTTACATGGTGTTTCTGAGAAATCAGTTATTCTCAGCACATATAGCTTCTGTTGCTGAGCAGAGTCCAGGCACTGGGGAAACTTACAAAACAGCCATACAGATTAGCTCTTGGCCATAATCCACTCAGTCCCATCTGAAATCCTGTCTTTCCCCAGGAAGGCTTTGTTACTTTGCTAGAAATCCCCTTACTCACCACCTGCCCCTTGGCAGGGAAGACTGGTTTTGCCTCACAGGGATACTCTGCACTCACTTTAGCCATTGACTTTTCCCCACCCAAAAGAAGTGCTTAGTGGATCTTTTCCCCACCCAAAAGAAGTACAGGACGTATCCCCTGTGTCCCCAGCATGGTGCCCCAGCACCAGGAGTCCTGAGGCTGCAGTGAGATGAGGAAGTCAGGTTTGGGAGCAGGACTCTGAACCAGACCAACCCCTCACACACCCTGAAAGGCAAAGCTGAGCATCAGCACAGCAGGGAGGCACCCCATCCTCCCTGACAACCTTCTCTGAGTGACCCAGATTGCATCAATGGGCTCTGAAGTGAGCCCACAGCCAATGATTTTCAGATGGGAGAATAGAATTTTCAACATGAGGCCCAATAGAGGCAAGGAGCACAGCAATGGGAAAGGAAAACAGAAGGCCTCAGCACCCTTCCCACCTGCAACACTGGTAAATGTCTCTTATTCCTACCCTTTTGCTTTTAAAAAGGCTGGAGAAGTCATCCCTTGTCTACTACTTTGCATGCCAAGTGCAGGATATTGGGGAAAGCCCAATGCAGAGGACTGAACCTTGCCTTCCAGGATACTTTTCCAAAGCCCAGAGGCAGCCCAGCAAACTGGAGTAGAGCATGTGTCCAGAATGACCCAATATTTCTTCCCTTTATATTCAAGAGTCATTTCATAGATAAGTGTACCAATAACTAGGTGCTGCATGTTGTGCCAGCAGAGGAGCAGTGGTCCTTGGGAGGAGTCTCTTGGGTTTTGCACACTTGTTCAGAGGCTGCAAATGCAGAAACATTGATGCTTATAATATATCGCCAGAGGAAAGGCCAGAAGAGGTAGCAAACCCAAATCAGTGAAAGGGTCTGCATGATCCCCCAGACAAAATTATGCATGTCCCCCACCTACTGAAGTGCCCAGTCCCATGAGAGTCTCCCTTTGGGACACTGCAGCTCTGCAGTGCCTCTTGGGCTGAGCAATGCCTTTTGGCTCATGTAACCTTCTTTAAATGCATCAAGCATCTTCCTCTATGTAGGTGGGAGAATAGGACTGCAAGCCACAAGCACCATTATTCTGGGCATATGAACCACTTAGAGCAACATCACCTCTTAATGGAAGAAAGGCATCTCAGCAGTAGCTACACTATGAACCATTAGCTTACTGCCAGGCAGCTTGATCCTAGACTTTAACATGCATTTAACTAGAGGTCTGCAGCAGAGATATTACAGAAATGCACTTTTACAGGAATAGTTTTAGTGCCAATTGAACTCAGTGACAAAAGTCCCTCTAGCTCCCATGTAGCAGGGACTCGGTTCTGTGTAGCCACGTACAGCTAAACGCTGTTGGGTGGAATATTTGTTTGTTAAAGTATGAGGCAATGCAATTGCAGTAAGTGTTTCACAGGAAAAGCAGCAAGGTGGAAAGCGGCAACTTAGACAGAAAAATGACTTAATTACCATTTAGCTAAAGATTCTCCAGTAGATCTGAAAATCTGTGTTCCAGATGCTTGCAACCTTTGTGCTACAGACACACATCAACATTCTTTGCTGGGCTAGGTCCAGATCAAGTTGGCTTTACTCAGCACTACACTCGCCCTTCAGCCCAGGCACATAATTGCCACTTAGTGCTCAGAAATACCAATTCCCAGCTGCACTGCCAGGGTGCACAGGAGGCACAATGGGCCACATTTCTGCAATGTCCGTTTAACTCTCGATTTACTCTCAGCAGAGACATGCCCATTTCTAAAACAGGTCAGCTGCACCCCTCAGTTGGTAAGCTGTTCTTGCTAACTGGTATGCGTCCAACAGTAGTCTGATGCTCTTGCTAATATCAATAGAGATTTTAAATTGCCTTTAATTAGAGCTTTGGAAGATCCCACTGTTTCTCAGCAATTAGCTTCTGTACTGGGTTTATTTGAATTGAACAGTAGCCCTCTACACTCGAGATGTGACAAGCTTGGAAAACTGTTCATTTTTGCTTTTTTTACTCTGCTTCCAATTCTTAACTCCATTGCCAATGTGTAAAGGCTGACATGGAGACAAAATATGTCTGAGACAAGAATGAAAAATCTATGTCCTATCCACATGCTCACAGTTGGGTTTATTCTGCTTATAAACAGTCTACCTCTCTTAATATGCAGTTAATTCTCTCTGAATGAAGCTGCATGGTTTTGAGAAGCACTGAAAGTTTCAGGGGTGGGGGAGCACGATGGGAAGCATCCTACTGCTGCTGGCAGATCTGCTGGGTCCCAGCACTGCAAGCTGCCTCCCAGCAATTTAAAGGTCAGCATTAGGAAGCAAAGATTGCTCCTGGATGGGATTTGCTGTCAGCAGAATATCTTAAGGCAGAAGAAAGAGACCTGTCCCCAGCGCTTCCTGTTCCCACTCAGCACATGTCCATCCTTCAGTGTGTCCACACACATCCCCCTCCAGCTCTGTCATCCTTAGATTCTCACACAGGCAGTCATTTACCTCTCCAGCTGTCCTCAGTCTAGGACATCTGAAACTGCAAACACCCTTATCCCTACTGCATCTCCACATCCTTGCTGCCTCTAAGGCTCCTGCCTCTCCATACTGCCACCACACCAGCTCAAAAACTGTAGAGATGTACTTATGTGAGGGATGATATGCTCTCAGCACACCAAAACAAGCCTCCAGCCAAGTTATTAAAACCATTTAATGCCACTTCTAACTGGTACTGAAGTTACACTAAAAATACTTACAATTCATAAAATCATAGAATGGTTGGGGTTGGAAAGGACCTTCAGATCATCTAAGGTCTTGACATGGGCAGGGACACCTCACATCAGACCGTGTCACCCAAGACTGTCCAACCTGGCCATGAGCACTGCCAGGGACAGAACATTTACAACTTCTTTGAGCAACCCATTCCAGTGCCTCACCACCCTCACAGTAAAGAACTTCCTCCTTATATCTAACCTGAACTTCCCCTGTTTAAGTTTAAACCCATTATCTCTTGTCCTATCACTACAGTCCCTAATGAAGAGTCACTCCCCAGCATCCCTATAGGCCCCCTTCAAATACTGGAAGGCTGCTATGAGGTCTCCACACAGCCTCTTCTCCAGGCTGAACAGCCCCAACTTTCTCAGCCGACCTTCATACAAGAGGTGCTCCAGTCCCCTGATCATTCTCTTGGCCCACCTCTGGACTTGTTCCAACAGTTCCATGTCTTTTTTATGTTGAGGACACCAGAAATGCACACAATACTCCAAGTGAGGTCTCTCAAGAGCAGAGTAGAGGGGCAGGATCACCTCCTTCGACTTTTTGGTCATGCTCCTTTTGATGCAGCCCAGGATACAGTTGGGTTTCTGGGCTGCAAGTGCACACTGAATCCAGCTCATGTTCATTTTCTCATTGACCAACACCCCCAAGTCCTTCTTAGCAGGGCTGCTCAGAATCTCTTCTCTTCCCAACCTGTAGCTGTGCCTGGGATTGTTCCCACACAGGTGTAGGACCTTGCACTTCCAAAGATTTCGATCACTCTACAGTCTTAAAGCCACATAAGACTGTAGCTTTAACTGGGACTTCTGCTCCCAGTTACAACTCTGCCTTGTCTACAGGGAGCAAAAGCAGGGAAGGATGGCCCTCATTTTTCCTCCAAACAGATACTGATGGAAAAAGCAGAAAAACAGAACCTGGAAATTTTGTTTAAAAAATGTCCCTTATTGTGTTAGTCTTCTACAGTGATTATAAAATCGCTATTTCTTTCAAGGAGTTTTTCATTCAGTGCTTTCTTTAAAGTACACATCCACTCCTGATCTCACGGGCTCAAGCTGTACTCTTAGCATTTTCTGAATTGCAACTTTCTGATCCAGAAAAATAAGCAACACCATCAACAAAATAAGAGCACAGGTGCTGCTGAAATGACAATCACTCCTCAGGATCTGAGCCTGCAGTAACATAGCCCGAGACAGAAATCTACTGCCTGCACCATGCAGCAAAAGTGCCAGTTTCCCTCCATTCGAGGATTAAATAGATGGCCACATAACAGTTAGCTGACCTGTGTCTCTATCAAATGCTGTAAGTACTCAAGCAGCAACACAGCTTGACTTTAATTGCATAAGCACACAGCGTGTTCAAACTCCACTCAGGTCCACACTCAAGGATTTAAAGTAGTCTTTAGAGTAGTCACTGCCTCATGTACATTAATCTCCTTTGCATACACATAAGGTTCTTGAAAACTTTAGTTCCCATCCTTACTCCTCCAGTACAAGTCATGCACTCATTTTGATTCAACAGCATAAAAAGACCAGCAACTAATATCAGAGGGGTTGAAGAAAGCAAGACAAAAAGTTTAGGCAGAAAAGCTCTACCAGAATCTTGCATAAAGGATCAGGTGAGTTTAATGTACCCTGTTTTACCAGTGCACCAGAAAGCCACAGCTGGTTTGGAGCACTGCAGGAGGAATCCTCATGTCACACAGCAAGCATCCTCTCCAGAATGGCCATTTTTGTAGGCACCCAAATTACCTAGAAGTACTCAACCACAGCCATAAGTCAATCAAACCATCTGCAGCTTCCACAGGAAAACTCACGCAAGACAAATGCATCATTTTCATCATGGCTAACGGCCATGAACCTAGAGGCTGAAATTTTAGGTTATGCCAAGAAATACAGTAGTCAATAACAGATTCAGCCTACAAATAACTAGAAGGCCTGACCTGTGCAATCGGCTAAGGATAGAAGACTCATTTGTTTCTCATTTATGTATTATCTCTCAAAAACTAGCAAAATTGGCTCCCTCAGAGTTATATCTAATAAGTCATTGCTATATTCTAGCCCAAATTCCTAGAGTGATATGTCATTAGATCTGCTGTCTGGTACTACAGACAGCTGCTCCCATACAATAACACTGATTAGAGCACATATATTTGTGCAACTGGAAGAGTCTGAGCATCAGGAGAAGAAAAACGAGGTGCTCAGGTTGAGCAATTAACATCCTTAAAGACCCTGTAGACAGTCCTGAATATACAGTGTATGCTGTAAGGAAAGGTTGTTTATTTGGGTGGGATAGTAAGCAGGGAGAAGGGAAGGCAAGTCCCTCACTCCTGATCAAAAGTATTAAAGACTGGGGCTCCCTGTTGTAGGACCACTGCCAAGCTATTGCTTCTTCAGGAAACTGGATGAAATCCAGTGCTCAAAAATGTTGTCAATGGCATGGTTCTTAGGTGTCTTGAAGAAGAAGATAACACAGAAATATGGGCTATCATCCATTATTGCTGTCAGCTTTATACAACAAATGTCAGCATAACACAGCCAAGGCCGTATCCTTCTGATGATGGCAGCCTTGTAAAAGCCTGTCAGGCAACCTCATGCTGGGTCCCAGGTGAGGGCAGGATTACCATCAAGAACTATCAGGTACCGCAACTCTCAAAGCTCAAGTATCTATTCTTTCACACCTTCTCCAGATTTGCCTTTTCGTCCTCCACCTTCCTCTACTGAAACCTGTGGCTATGTCATGTTCACCCTCTGACTTAATAATGAGGCTTGCATCCCCTTGCACCAAGCACATTACCACCAGCACTTGTCCCCTTTGCAACGCTGTAACTAAAGTCTCTATTTCTCGTCTTATTTTCCCAATTTGAAAATGGCTTGGTGCCCACATGCATCTCCTCCTGGCTGCACCTTCATGTTTCCCCTAAGCTGCACCCCCAGCATTGCCTCTTAGTGGCCACAGGAGCACTCAGCCTCTGTCTCATGCTACTAATCCACTTTCCTATCTAGTACAGGAAGCACCATCAGCTTCCCTCAGCTTGGTCTTATTACTGAGAGTGGAAATTTCCAAATATTGACACATTTCAGCCTGAATAATATTCTATCATTGCCTATAAAGGTGGCTCTGTTTCACCTTCTACAATACATCAAAAATTACTTAGCTGCCTTAAAAATAACTCACACATAACAGTAGCAGAACCAGGCTATGCTTAGCACGGTCCGTCAGATAAACTAAAACACCAAGAACCCCATCTACTTATAACAAACAGTGATAGGCACAAATCAGTACACACATTTCTGGGCAGTTCTCCCATAAACACATGCCTACACAGGGAAGAAACCACATACATTCAGCCTAATTGAATAATAATGTTAATTACAGTAAACACAAAAATGGCACCTTGATGCAGTACAATAAACATAATTTACCCAGAAAGGGGAATACTAGGAGAAAAGATACTTTGCAAAATAATGTACAGATAAAAAAGGAACTACTACAGGCTACTGGATACTGTACCTTGGATGGAGTTCTGCCACTTGCTTACAAACATTCTGCCTTATTTCAAACAGCTCCCAATTTTTTGGTCCAATGCCATAAAAAAAAAGCTGCTTTCCTCAAAATGCCTCACCTAGAAACTACGCAAAACTGCTCCTAGCAACCACCTCAACTCTTCCTCAGTGAACTATTCTGTAGCCTCTTAATCTACCCTTGATCACAAGCACCTGGAACCTGGTGAGCACCTGGTCTGATTGCTCTAAATTGTCATAGTTTCATTAACTTTAACAGATCCCTGACAACAATTTGTATCAGCTGAGGACCTAGGATCTAATTCCTTTATTTGTTTGAGCCCAGCCCATGTTTGGAGATAATATAGTAGGGAAAAAGAAAAAAACATGCAAAGCTTTATTTCTTTTTAAGCTTGAAGCCAGGGCAGTGGTAGAAGTTAACTTGCTTGCAAGCAAAAAATTTTACTTTGTGATACATTGAGTGTACCTCTGAAATTCAGACAAGAGGGTTCACATCCACTTAATTTAGCAACAGCTTCAAGGGACAGTGAGCAAGAGGCAGAAGATGTCTTGGATGTTTTCATGTTGCTAAGGAAACTACCTCTGTGATGGCCATTGCTCACCACAGCTGGGTCGCTTGGGCTTTGCTTCTCAGAGTAAAGGATGAGTCATGGCTGGACAGAAAACTGAACAAACTTGCCAAAGACTGCTTTTATTGCCTACTTCCACTCAATTAACAGTTATATCTAACTCTTCAAATAGACACAGAAAAAAAAAATACCACCGCTATTTTTTCCACACGCTGTTACAGGTACTGGCAATGTTAGGGTGAACATTAGGATGTGTCATGCCAAAATGTCTTGATGACACAACACTGGATATCACTGTAAAACTTTGCTGAGTTGTAGTACTCCTTCCAGCTGCAGCTGCTGCATTAGGTGCTCTTAAGTTTGGGGTATTTGACCTCAGGATTCTCAGTTATGTTTCAAATTCTCTGTTAGTCCAAAGCTTGAAAGCTGCGATGAGTTAATATCCAAACCAACCTCTACACGTGAGGCTGCAGTACTCCAACGTTAACTCTAAGTGGTATGAGATTCCATCTGATGAACCCTGGCTCAGATGACTGATAGTTCTGTTTGTTGTTGCCAGCTGTGAAACAGCAGGGTGCCTGAGATGAGCATCCGCAGCATCCACTTCCACAAGCCAGGATGTTGTTCTTTGTTTCTGGATCTAGATAAAAATCCATCAGCCTTTTGGGAAGGAAAAGCATGTAAAGTTTCATGGCACAACAATGCCACGAGCTACTAAGTGACCATTCTGCCTGACATGATAGGAGTCTGGTGGGAATGCTGCTTCTGTGGGATTTTTGTTATTTTCTTGGTCTGATCTGCCAAAGAAGAGCTAATCTTATCTGATATCAGCCACATATTTTCAGATGACAGCATATAGAAATGGTTTATTTTAGATCCATCCAGCAACCTGAACACATAATCCTTTTTGCAAGGATTCAAAGCCAGCTCCTCAAAGACCTTCCCAAAACTTAATACAAGAGTATCAAGTGAACATTTGACTTTATATGCACTGATTATCTTTCTAATTATTTGTAAAAAGGGATGACTGATTTCTGAACTAAGACTTACTGAAGATGTAACAGCTTGGCATTTGAGCATCAGTGACTTTGTTTCAGTGATTTTTCTCATCCACTCCCTTAAGTAGAAGCTAGCTCCCATCACATAGCTCCAGGGCTAGCACCGTATCTTGAAGGGCCAACAGCGTACAGATGTTGGAAAAAGGCAGCAAAACATTCACATCTTCGACATGCAGGTCTATGTGGCCCACAGCAGAAACCTGTTGGAGCAAGACTCTCTGCATATCGTATTATCAATACTGCAGCATCATGCAGCATGTAACAGTTGCCTCCATGGCAACCAGACAACTGGACCCAACCTGAAATCATTTGCAGGCTTGTGCCTCCATTTTCCATAACACAACTGGTGCTAAAGAGAATTTTGTTTGTTTCCAGACTTCCTTAAAAAAAACTTCACCTGGCTTTGACCTCAAATCCTTCTGTTCTGACTGGGCTGAGAGAAGATTGTTCTTTAGGACTCAATCACTTGTTAATTCTCTTAAAGAGATTACTCAAATCTCCTAAACAAACATCAGACTAGATTTTGGGTTCAGCATAGGTGCTAAAATGACCTTGCTGATAAAATCAGCATGATCTAACCTCACAAGTTGGAGAGGGATGCCTTGGATGTAATTTTGACTCGGTTTGACCATCATGGTAAGTTATCTGACTGCTCTGCATCTCTGTTCCCCTATCTCTAGTATTCTTGCAGTGCTTCTTGAGAACCAGTACAGAAAATGTAAGATCTTCCAGACCTTTGTGGGAAACACAATATACTGACAAAGTCACTGGGGCTACACACAATCTGCTGTTTTCTTTTAATAATGTTTATTGCTTTTTCCTTTTCTCATATTTGAGCTCTCTGGTTCATTTCAGTGTCAGCACGAGGCTGGTTTGCACAGCATTCCAACTCCTGTGTTAATCAAAGTGCTATTGTTCAGAAGTGGATTTAGGTTGGTGCATTCGGCAGGGTGCTCTGGTACAGGTGCTAGGGCATGATATCATACCCCAGGGTCCTCTGTAGACTCACCCCCTTTGCCTGCTGCCTTTGGGTGATTTGCCCTCTGTGCAGCTATTAGCCAGACTTATTTATGTTCTATGTCTATCTGTGCAGTTTTCTTTCTGTCTCGCTTGGGTTTCAGAAATAATGAACCCTACAATGACAGATGTGGATTTTGGCTGTATAACAGACAAATTCTTAGGAACCAGGAGTAGCTCAGTGAGTTATGTATTTTTGTCATTGTGTTGTGGCCAGGAATGAAGCACAGAAGTTCTATCTGTGATGAGTTTTTCACAAAACATGGATCATTAAGTCAAAACTGTATCACTTTTAACCTATATCTCTTCTGCTGTTGTTCTGTTACAGTTCTTTAAACCTGGCAGATTTCATTGCAAAATCTCTAGCATCTATAATGGAAACAATTCCAAATCCAGTAAGAATTCACAGAATATAAAAAAAAATTAAAATATATCATTGGAGAGCAAAGCCCATTGTGACTGAAGCACTTCCATGTGCTTTCAAATCTCTTAGCCCTGTTTTCAGTCTAATTTATCCGTTTGCTAATTCAAATTTCCCAGTACCCAACTTACAATATCTAACCAAATATCACTCATGTGGAAACACATTCAAATTCTACAACAAGCTGGAACTTATGGCTTCAAAAGTCTTGTCAGCTTTGCTCTTCAACTGTCAACTTGTAATGGCGGGTATGCCTTCCTCTCCTCAAAAATGTATTAGTAGCATTCACTGTTCCCTTCCTGAACACTATGCTCCATTTCACTCTCACTGTTGTCCATTATGGCAAAATTATCCTATTTCCACTACAAGTATACCTTGATGAGAACGATAAACTTTTCTGAAAGATTTCTTCATATGTTATTCTTTAGTTTTCCTTTGTTATTAATAATTCAGTATATTTTTATAAAGAATGTTGACACTGTGATGTGCTGCACATAGACATTTCAAAGAATTTTGCTATGACAAAATATTGGGAATAGTGCACAGTAGTCAGAGCTGAGAAACTGCATTATACACTCTTGGCTTCTGATAAAAGGCCGAGCAATCTGATTTTGTTCTGATTGTGAGGGCTGCCATTTGAGGTGGCAGATCAGAAGGCCACATTCCATTACACCACCTTTGGTTCTCATGTCCCAGATGAGGCAGGGCTGGGTCTTGCTTCTGCATGGGGAATGCCATGCCGGGGGGGCACAGCGGATCCCGCCCTCTCTTATCCCAGCTGGGTTCCCAGGGATAAAAGCATCTGTAAGGACGCCAGACTGAGTCTGAAAGTGCATCTCCGGATGAGGCAGCTAAAATTCGCTTTGTGCTTGGTAGTGCTGGCTCCCTTCCCTCCACAGCTGTCTCTTTCACTCCTCAGGGGCTTGTATTTCTGTAAGCTAATTTAAGGAGAAAAGCCTCTTTAATCCGGTATCTTACAGACCCAGAGTATGGAGTTTTTTTTTATTTTAAATAAAATATGAATATTAAGTTCTTTAAGCAAGGACTTTGTCTTCCAATGTCTCTTAAAAGGACTTAGCATGTTGCTGGTATTAGAGGTGTAAATACTACAATAATGTAATACAGTTTGACTCTCAGAGACTTTTTTCATTAGGAATAGACTCACAAAGTGTATCTCTGTGTTGTGAAGGAAAAGGCTAAGGTATGAGGAGGGTTTCCCACGAAGTTATTTCTGAGCCTTGCCCTGGAAAAGCTTGGGATCAAGAACCTATTTTGATTTAGGTTTTCTTGTCATTCACAGGGCTTTTCTTGTTTTGATTCTGAATGCAAAGATGTGAAAAGTACTTAATAAAAAAAAATTCTTTTAGAAAAGAATATACTGAAAAAATAATTTAACAGAATAGTAATGGTCTTGTACCACAGAGCAAATTTAATACCAACTTTACAAATGTAGTAAGATCTCTGCAAAAGCAGAGAAGTTCAATCTGAAGTGCATTCTTGAGGCTGAGGCCAATGTCTATTCAGTACCATAGAAATACTTCATCAGCTTCGATACAAGGCAGATCAGGCATCCACTGCACTCGGATTGTCAGTGGCTGTTACTGTATTTGCCGAATATTCCACTCAAACTTGACACTGCCATTAAAGTAACATCCAATTTTCACAACAGCACAAATTCTCAGTATAGAAACATAGAATTCTATATGGGTTTATATTGAAAAGACCTTTAAGATCGTTGAGTCCAACCACTAACTTAGCACTGCCAAGTGCAGCACTAAACCCTGTGTGCTGCATATAGATGTCTTCTAAATCCTCCAGGGGCAGTGACTTCACCACTTCCCTGAGCAGCCTGGTCCAATGCTTGACAACCCTTTTGGTGAAATGTTTTTTCCTAATATCCAATATAAATCTCCCCTGGTGCAATTTGAGACCATTTCCTCTTGTGCTATCACTTGTTACTTAGAAGAAGAGACCAACACAAATCAGTCAGACAGGACCTGCCTTTTATAAACCCGTACTGATTGGCCCTGATCACATGGTTGTACTGTACATGCCTCACT